CGGGGGGGGGGGGGGGGGGGGGGGGAGGGAGGCCATGCCAGCATCTCTCTCCTCCTCTGAACGACAGAGCTTTGGGGCACCATCGCAAAAGATCCGACCCTAAAAAAGTGGCGGGCAGCTGCAGATCTCTGTAGGTCCAGATCGAAGAACCATCGAAAACAACAGTAGAGGACCTGGTCTTTAATACAGCAGTGGCTGTAGACCTTGGCCTCTCCTTTCACGTAGTCAAGTTCACGCATACTCCTAAACTAGCCGGTTGTTAATGGGAAAGGGCTAGAAAGAATCAAGATGACAGCTGTGACTGCGATCATGATGCGCATACAAAAGGGGTGAAGATTTGATTGTGCCGTTGCGGGCACCATCTTGACTTTTTTGCCCCCCGCGTGGACCTCCCTGTCCACTGTAATACCCCCAAAGGAATGTATAGGAAGCTGAACTGCTTGCCACGGGCTCCCTGCCTTAACTGCAACGGACTCAGTGCCCATGAATCCCCAGCCAGCCTGGCATGCAAATAATTGTTTGCTTGGTTCAGCTGATATCTCACCTTTCTGCGCTGGCAAGATCTTGAAGTGGCGAACAAAATTTAAAAACCAAATCAGAATGCCAAAGAGAAAAAGAAAAGCAAATGCAAATTGCAAAGAACAATCAACACTAGAATCGTTTAGCAAGTAAGAACCTGGTTTAAGCCGTGTATTTTTATGCATTTTCTCAGGAGTGGGGACTTCGGGAAGGCCCGTCTGCTGATCTTAAAACCTAGACGGCTTCGTAGCAGGAGGGGGGGTCTCTCGGGCCATCGGTCATGAAGGGCCGAGGGCGTCTATGGAAAATTCAGTCCATTGAACAGGTTTGCTAAGTCTCTGCTAAATACGGAGTCAGTCTCCTCGTTTAGATCCTTCTGTGGCGGCTTCACAGGATTTATGGATTTAAAATTATTCCCGGGGTGTTTGCTGTGGCAAAAGCCTTCCCGATGCAGCTAACCAACCAATAAAAGAAAACGCCACACCACTGCACGGGCCCGTGTGCAGCCGTCCGGCGTCAACGTTGACTCCAAGGCACCCAGACGCGCACCCAAAACACCCTAATGACCCAGCCCAACTGAAGGTGATCAAAACCATCCGCCATCGGAGCCGTTAAAAAAAGAGAACAGTCCCCAGATGAACCGAATCGAGGAAAGGGCACAGACTCTAGAGGCGCTGAATGTCACACTTCTGCCCTCTTTTTCCGCACAGGGTCTCCAACTCGCCTGCAGAGGGCAGGCGTGCTTTACGGACCCGCTCTGAGGTGGCATAAAACCCGGAGAAGAAACACAGGGTTGGCACAGACGGACAGGTGGACAGAGTCACCCAGGGCTGCAGGGAGCACACCGTGAAGAGGAGTTCGCATCTGAGGGCCAGCTGATCAGCTAGCCAGGGTGGCTGTCTACTGGCTCTGCAAACAGAGGCAGCGTGCCCTTGAATGCCAACGAACAGGGAATGCCAGAGTGCGTGTCTCTGTGTGCAGGAGGGTGCTTTCACCCCCCAGTCTGGCATGCAAACTCCCCAGGGGCATTTATTTTGCCCTCCCTGGAAGCCAATCCCAGACAAGGTGTTGGAAGAGCTGAAGAGGCTCCCTTTGCTGAATCCAACGCATGGCTCCGTTGGCCCCACAAGGCCTTCTCCATCCCACAGCGGCGAGCCAGGGGGTTCCCTGCAGGCATCCTGGGCAGCTGCCATTCCAAGATATATTGCTCCAAAACATGGAAGCTCCTTAAACCAACCAAGAAACACAGATTCCCCCCAGCCTTTGCAGAAAATCAGGAGCCTGGTAGCACCTCTTCCGATGAACCGCTTTATTCAAAGGGGTACGTTTCGGGAGCTGCAGCTTCTGCCTTTGAATGAAATTGGATTTGATTTTTTGGCTACCGTAGGCTAACCCAGCTTTCCTACAAAGATTTTTCAGCGTGATCAAGCCAAGGCCTCTGGAGATGCCACAGATAGACCACGGGGACTGTGGTTTGGCATTGTGCCCTTCATCCTAGAGCAGTGTTTCTCGACCGTGGCACGTT